AGGCCTCAAAGAGCTCCTTAAGAGATCTATGGAAGAACAAGCTGAAATCACTTGTCCTTACTTTAAAAACATCTGAAGAACCACGTGTTTTAATAAAAAAAAAATATGATTAGCTTGTTTCCTTTACGACTATTTCATCTTAATTACTCTCCAACTTAGTAATAGAAGTGAAAGATGACTCTGTATGTGTTAATTAGTCTCAGATTAAAGCACTATGAAAAGCTCTCTTAACTGATACCACTGAATGACAATTGGATCTCGCAATACTCTGAGGCAAGGTTTTGCTGTATTAAGAAGGAGCTATATGCTCAGGTTACTTGATATTTATAAAATGCAACATTTAGCATCGCTTTTAACTCATTAAAATAACCAGTGATTAGCTGCCATACAGGGGTTTGGGGTTTTTTGCATTTTATTGTTTTTTGTTTTGTTTTTTTTTTTTTAAATCCTGAATATTAGAAATAATATTTTGTTAATGACAATCAATCCAGGGGTTTTTGTTCTCACTAGTTACACTATTAGTCTATGAAAAAGTACGCTGGAGACATGCAAGTCTTTAAATCTAATCCACCACAGTAAAACTCCAGGACAGCAAGCTCTCAAGAAAAGAGATGCAAAGCTTCACATGGTAAGTTTTTTTTTTATTTTAATTTTTTTTTGTTTTACAGTAATCCAAGAAGCTTGACCTAAACACCTTGGGTTTTCTAGGTCATACTTTATGCCAGATTTCACTCAGGTAAGCTTTCTCAAAACTACCATTAATCCGGACTAGTATTTACGGTTGACAAAGACACCGCATCCTGTAAATAGCGGGTCTCAGAGGCAAATGAAGAACGTGTGTTTTTTCAAGTTTATAAAGCAGAAGCATGTCTGGTTTAGTATTTACATATAAAGAAAACAAAAATGGAGAGATATTTGTTATATTGTCACTAATTGATAAGCACTAGTGGCAGTTGCACTATGGTTAATTAATTTTCTTTCACGATTAATCCATAAAAAGCAGCAATCTTAAAAATTTACTTGCCCAAGATGAAGATGGGCATCTGGAACTTTTATGTGAAACCTGATGGCTGAAGAGACGATCAGAGGCAGCAGGGGTGAAACGGTAAGTTTTAATTTGGCATTGATTGTTTATTCTTGCACCAAATTTGTTTCTAACATCTACCAAATCAGATTTGACATAAGAAAGCTAACAGGAACAGACCATTATGTGCTGTGGCTAATTACAATCATGTCGCTGATACAGAACAAGTCTGCTTTATTGGATGACTCAGTGCAGATCCACTACTGACTGCAGAAGTACGGCCTCAAGCTGAAGCAATTACCTTCAAGTCAATAGAGGTCTCTTCTGTCATCTCAGGATTAGATGGAAATCAGCTGATGTATTTTTCATGTTTGATTTTATCTTGTTTCTTCTGCTTTGGTTTGGAAGTGTTCTTGAATCTTTAAGATCACCAGGTCCTAGCAGGTTCTTCTGACAAATGATTTCTTTTTTAAGTACTTAAGTACATTTGAAGTACATTTAAGTACTTTTAAAAATCACTTGCGTTGCCCAAGACAATCTCTGAAACTTTCTTTTTCGTTTCCCAGCAGAGGTCTCCCAGGTTGGTTCTAGCTACCACACCAAGATCTGTCTTGGACTTCCTCAGAGAATAATCTTGGAATTTATTCTTATTGTTCTCACAAACAGCAAAAACAGGGAAAGGAAAGCTTACACACATCTTTTGTTCTCCAGAAATACAGGGCATTCAAGCCCTGATGACCCTGGAGTGCCTTCACTACAAAGAGGTCCCTGAGTTTATGAATGAGCACAGTGGTCAATCTGCAAATCCAGTACCAGCATGGAAGATGTGCCTCAACAGAATACAGGTGCTCAAGGCACTGGTCTGATGCCACTGGCATGTGACAACTAATCTACAATGTGACAGCTGGCCTCAAATGTTAGCATTGAGTTTTCTCAACTGAGAGCATATTTAGACCAGGAAAATCTGACTCCTGAAACATTCAAGAGCTAGGAAGAAAACAAGTAAAACACAGGCAAATAAAAAATATATATAGTGCTATATAGGTGGTATTATTATTATTATATATAAAATATATTATATTACATATAAAATACTGTGGCTGTTTTGTTTATATATTTATATATTATACATAAAGTATATCATTTATATATATTTTATATATTTAAAAATAAAACAGCTACACTGGCCAAGCTTTTAAAACTACAGAAAATATTCTTTTTTTTTTTTTTTTTAAAAAAACTGCTGGTAGGGAAGTGAGAAATTACCCACTTATA